GTCTGCTGATCAATAAATAAATATATGATTAGGCCTTTTAGAATCCAGACACTGAACAATGAGTTTTTTTTTCTTTTTTTGAGACAGAGTCCCCACTATGTGGCCCTTGGTAGAGTGCAGTGGTGTCATAGCTCACAGCAACCTCAAACTCTTGGGCTTAAGTGATTCTCTTGCCTTAGCCTCTCAAGTAGCTGGGACTACAGACACCTGCCACAATGCCTGGCTATTTTTTGTTGCAGTTGTTATTGTTGTTTTAGCTGACCCTAGCTGGGTTTGAACCTGCCAACTTTGTTGTATATGGCTGGTCCTATAACCACTGTGCTACAGGCACCAAGCTGAACAATGAGGTTTTTATTGACTTGGTAACTTAATTTTTTTCCTTGTGACAAGATCTCTTACTCTGTAACCTGGGCTGGAGTGCAGTCTTTTGATCATAGCTCACTATGGCCTCAAATTTCTTGGCATAAGTGATCTTCGTAACTCAGCCTCTGGAGTAGCTAGGATGACCAGCGTGTTGCACCTCACCTGTCTAATTAAAAATATATTATTAAAATATATTTTTTTTATAGATGAGGTACCATTTTGTTACCCAGCCTGGTCTTAGAACTCTTTGGCTCAAGTGATCTTTCATTCTTGGCCTTGCAAGGTGCTGAGATTACAAATGTGAGCCATGGACCCTAGTGGGCAACTTAATTTTAAAGTGTTTTGACAATTATTGAAGCTTACTGAAGCTGTAGTTGATTGATTTTTTTTTTTTTTGAGACACAATCTCAAGCTGTCACCCTAGGTAGTGTGCTTTGGTGTCATAGCTCACAGAAACCTCCAACTCTTGGCTTCAAGTGATCCTCTTCCTTCAGTTTTTCTATTTTTAGTAGAGATGGGATCTTACTTTTGCTCAGGCTGGTCTTGAACCCGTGAGCTCAAGCTGTCACCCATGTTGGCCTCCCAGAATGGTAGTATTACAAGCGGGAGCCACCGTGCCTGGCCAAGTAGTTGACCGAAATTAAGAATCAAAAAGTTCTGATAAAAAAAAAAAAACAACTCATTGGCATTGGTGGAGAAAGGACCTCCAATAAAGTAAATGCTTCATAAAAGCAACAAAAGCACCATGATGGGGGTTTTTGGAAACTGAATGGACATAGAAAAGGTTATGGTACCCCCCAAAATTTTCAAAATCAACTTTTTAAGAACTCTGGAAATTGACCAAATTATTACAATATAAGTCATATTTATTAAAGATAAATGGATTAATAATGGAGAGAACAGTGAGCTTCACAAAATTTTAACTTGCCTTGTTCTGACTTTTTTTTTTTCTTCAGCTCTACATTAACATTGAAAATTAACTCCACATAATCATGGAAAGTGCACAATCTTGGAAAACATGAAAACCACCATTGTAACAGTCATGGGAGAGGGCTAAAAATGTGTGAAGTTACCTAAAATCTGGGAAATATAATTTACAGGGCCTATGTTATTTGAACTGATTCAGAGCCTTCTCATTTTAAATGGTTTTTCCTTCAGGCCATTTGTAGCTACTGTTTTCTATTGTGTTTTGTCATAGGCAGCAAAAAGAATAAAAAATCAGGGGCAGTGTCCATAGCTCAGTGGGTAGGGCGCCGACCACGTACACTGGGGCTGGCGGGTTTGAACCTGGCCTGGACTTGCTAAAACAACAGTGACAACTGCAACAACAACAACAAAATAGCCAGGTGTTGTGGCAGGCACCTGTAATCCCAGCTACTTGGGAGGCTGAGGCAAGAGAATCGCTTAAACCCAAGAGTCTGAGGTTGCTGTGAACTGTGACACCATGATGCTCTACCTAGGGTGACAGCTTCAGACTCTGTCTCAAATAATAATAATAATGATAATGATAATAATAATAATGATAGAACATCAAACAAAAACCTGAACAATAGACCTAAAAGGAAAAAGTGGACAATGAGGTATGATTTGAAAGCTATGAAAAGCCATGGGATATTCCTAGATGTGCAGGAGGTCATGTACATGTGTAGAGCATTGCACATGTCCAGGATTTGTACCTGTCCATAACAAATCTGGGAAGCTTCTAATCACTCACTTCTGGCACCTCTATGAAAGCATGAAGTGAAGACTAAGGTACAGTTTCAAAGTGCCCGGTTTAGTTTTAAAGGCACACTGCAAAATGCACCCAGAGCACTTCACCACTGGCTGGAAACACTTTAAAGAAATCTTTGTCCAATCAGTTGTGGAGCAGTAACCTATCTGACTAGAGATTTTAGAGGTTTCATGTAATGAAGAATAACATATTTTTATAGAGTTAGTCCACAGAGTCTCTAAATAGCAGTGGCAAGAGTAAGACACCCTGGAGATGGAGGGGGTTCCTGATATCCATAGTTGCAATACTACATTATTTCTTTCTTTCTGTTTTATTTATTTATTTATTTATTTTTGAGACAGAGTCTCAGTATGTCACCCTCAGTAGAGTGCTATGGTGTCATGGCTCACAGCAACCTCTAACCCTTAGGCTTAAGCAATTCTCTTGCCTCAGCCTCCCAAGTACCTGGGACTACAGGCACCTGCCACAATGCCTGTTTTTTTTTTTTTTTTTTCTTGCAGTTGTCATTGTTGTTCAGCTGGCCTGGGCTGGGTCTGAACCCATCAGCCTTGGCGTGTGTGGCTGGTGCTGTAACCACTGTGCAATGGACGCTGAACCTGTATTTTTTATTTTTTCTGAGACAAGGTCTCACTCTGCCTCCATAGGTAGAGTGTAGTGGTGTCTTTATAGCTCACTACAGCCTCAAACTCCTGAGCTCAAGAGATTCTTCTCCTACCTCAGCCTCCTAAGTAGTTAGGACTGCAGATACGTGCCAACACACCTATCTACTTTTTCTATTTTTAGTGCAGATGAGGTCTCATTCTTTCTCAGGCTCCTCTCCTGAGCTCAAGGGATCTTCCCCTTTCCGCCTCCCAAAGTGCTAGGATTACAGTCATGGACCCCCAGGCCACATTATGCAAATGTTTATTTTTCAACCCAAGACTCAGAGACATACAAAAAATAGTAAAAAATTGCCCATGGATAAGGAAAATAAAAAGAATCAGTAGAGGCTCAGCGCCTATGGCTCAAGTGGCTAAGGTGCCAGCCACATACACCTAACGTGGCAAGTTCGAATCCAGCCCAGGCGTGCAAAACAACAATGACAGCTGCAACCAAAAAATAGCTGGGTGTTGTGGAGGGCACCTGTGGTCCCAGCTCCTTGGGAGGCTGAGGCAGGAGACTCGCTTGAGCCCGGGAGTTGGAGGTTGCTATGAGCTGTGATGCCATGGCACTCTACCCAGGGGGACCGCTTGAGGCTCTGTCTTAAAAAAAAAAGAAAATCAATAGAAACTGTTTCTGAGGAAGCCCTGACATTAGCTTTAAATTAGCTATTTCTTTATTTCTTTATTTTTTGTATCAGATTAATATGAGGGTATTAACAATTAGGTTACATTGTTTGTGTTTGTTAGGTTAAGTCCAAGTTGTAGTTGAACTCTTTAGCCACAGTGTGTGCTGTATACCCTTACATTGTAACTATTAAGTGAGAGTTTACCAATCCCCCTTTTTCCCCTGTCACTTCTTCTTCCTCCCTGCTAATTTAATTGTGATTTTCTCTCCTTTGATCATGTGGGTGTGTAGTTGTTTAAATGTTGGTTTCATATTAGTATTGAGTATACTGGATACTTGCTTTTCCATTCTTGTGATACTTTACTAAGGTGAATGTTCTTCAACTCCATCCAGTTTAATACAAAAGATGTGTAAAGTCTTTTTTATGGCTGAATAGTATTCTATGATATATGTACACATACCATAGTTTATTAATCCATTCATGTGTTGATAGACACTTGGTTTGATCAAAATCATGTTGAAATATGATCTAACCCCAGTGAGAATAGCCCACATCACAAAGTCTCAAAACTGCAGATGCTGACATGGCTGTGGAGAGAAGGGAACACTTTTACACTACTGGTGGGAATGCAAACTAATACAACCTCTTTGGAAAGTAGCATGAAGAATCCTCAAAGAGCTAAAAGTAAACCTTCCATTTGATCCTGAAATCCTATTACTAGGTAGCTACCCAGAAGAAAAAATTCATCCTATCATTCCTACCATGAGGTCAATTTGCTATTTAAACATGTATTTAAATAAATAAGTGAAACAATGTCTACAGAATTAAAGGAAAGAATAAAAACAAAGAAAAATATCACTGGAAAGATGGAATTTTTTAAAATTAAATCAACTAAATCTTAGATCAAAAGTAGAATAAACAAAATAAAAAATACACTGAAGGGTGTCAACATGAGATTTATACTGAGAGAAGAAATCATTTGGAAATTTAAAGATGAGTGAATTGAGAGTATTTAATCTGAGGAAAATAAGAATAATCTCAAATTTCAGTATGCTAGAACTGCCATTCCTTACACAGCAAAAAACCTATTGCCTGTTACCTAAAGGTTTTGGTTATTTGTGAAACGAGATAAGTCACAGCACAGTGATTTTTCAACTGGTGTGCCGTTAGAGGATCTTAGGTGTGCTGTAAATATTTCTAAAGATCATCAATTAAGTTATTTTTGAAAGAAGTTCAAAGCACAGTAACTATACTCTTTCTTTTACTCTTTTTTTTTTTTTTTGGATCAACATAATTAAAGTGTGCCGTGGAAGTTTAACTGTAGGTTCAAGTGTGCCCTGAGATTAACAGAAAAAAAAAAAAAAAAAAAAGGTTGGACAACACTGTCCTAGCAATACCTAAGAGTGGCTCTAAGAATTAAATAAAATATTAGCTATGAAAGAACTCTTTGAGTATGAGGATTAGCAAAAAAGGAAAGAAAAAAAAATGTTTTCAACAGGTACTGAATGTATTATTATGTTGGCATTAGATTTTATACCTTCTAGTCCTTTGGGCTTTGGGCATTGATCCCTACTTCATGTTGCACAGATCTCTGTCTACCATAATTAATTTGCTTTACTTTTTATTCTCTCATTCCAGCTGAGTCCTTCAAGGAATTTGCTGAGTTGCTCAATGAAGTAGAGAACGAGAGGATGATGATGGTAGGTCACTAACACTGTTACTAAAGTTGAGATCATGGCTGATATTGGGGATTTTTTTTCCAGTTCTTTATCCTAGGATTGATTCTGTGCTGGTACAGTTTCTATATCATGGCTTTCTGGTGCTATAAAAATAGGCAGTAAATCTGGATATTCTATATTAAGCTGCCATTCTTGAGTTTGTCATTAGGTAGAGGGGAATTAATATACAAATTCTATCCTTATTCATTTCAATGAAAAATAATTTCATGGTAGATTCAAGTGCGTTGTTGAACATAGTGACAAAAATTATGGCCTTTAGTATTCTCAACCAAATTATCAACTTATTATTCTGTTTCTCTGCTATCAGAAATAATATGTGATTTGTTTATATTGGATGAATGATTGTTTTATTGAAATCTATGTTAAAATGGTTCCTTATATTTAAAGTTGGCTTTTAAAAAGAATACTGTAGCTTTTAGTTTTTTTTTTTTTGAGACAGGTCTCACTTTGTGCCCTGAGTATAATGCCTTGGTGTCATAGCTCACAGCAACCTCAAACTCTTGGACTCAAGTAGTCCTCTTGCCTCAGCCTTCATGAGCAGCTGGGACTACCAGTGCCCCCCATCGCCACCGTGTCCAGCTAACTTTTCTTTTTTTTTTGAGACAGAGCCTCAAGCTGTCACCCTGGGTAGAGTGCTGTGGCTTCATGGCTCACAGCAACCTCTAACTCCTGGGCTCAAGCGATTCTCCTGCCTCTGCCTCCCAAGTAGCTGAGATTACAGGGGCCTGCCACAATGCCCGGCTATTTTTTGGTTATAGGCATTATTGTTGTTTGGCAGGTCCAGGCTGGATTCGAACCTGTCAGCTCAGGTGTATGTGGCTGGCGCCTTAGCTGCTTGAGCCACAGGTGCCGAGCCACCAGCTAATTTTTCTATATGTAGTGTCTGACTCTTGTTCATGCTGGTCTCGAACTCCCTAGCTCAGGTGATCTATCTGCCTCAGCCTCACAGACTGCTAGGATTACGGTGTGAGCCACTGCACTTGGCATACAGATTTCAATTTTTAGTCAAGTTTTACTTTATAGAAAAATTAAAGGCTAGGTGTGATGGCTCATGCCTTTACTCCTAGCACTCTGGAAGGTCGAGGTGGGTGGATTGTTTGAGCTCAGGATTTCAGACCAGCCTGAGCAAGAGTGAGACCTTACCTCTACTAAAAACATAAAAACTAGCTGGGCATGTTGGCCTCTGCCTATAGTCTTAGCTACTCAGGAGGCTGAGCCAAGAGGATTGCTCAAACCCAAGAGTTTGAGGTTGCTGTAAGCTATAATGCCATGATACTCTACCTAGGGCAACAGAGTGAGACTCTGTCAAATAAATAAATGAATAAATTTTATTTAGAGAAACTGAGAGACCAACACAGGTGTTTTCCCTGGAACTTCATGAATGGCCCCATAGCTAATTCACACTTCACTAAAAGTTCACTTCTCAGAGTTTGTGGATTGGTGCCCGTGTTTTTTTCAAAGGCATTCGCCCTCATTTCATTCAGATACCACTAGAAAGTTTAACTGTACTGCTCTTTAGCACTGTTTCTGAATCTCTATTTATCCAATAACAGAGGTTTCAAATATTAAAGAAGGATTCATCTTTTGAGATGTTTTTCTCACCCTTCTTTCAGACTCCTTGCCATGTGGCTGAATCATTTTCTTCTGTCTTTAATTATGCTGTGGTCTTTTATCAGTAAAACTTTTCAATCATGTACTGAGTATTTGCTCTCATTTCCCACTTAATTCCAAGAATGCTAACAAAGTTAAGCTTAATGAGGGCCTTTCACACTATGCCGGGAATTCATTGCTTGATTGCACCTCTCCCATTTCCTGGGGCTGTAGTAAAAGAACTTGGATCTGGATAATGTGGGAAGTGCTACATAGCTGTTCATCCTTCGTAAAAGAAGAGGCTAAAATAAGCTTTGGAATAATGGGAAGTAAGTTCAGAGCCTTGGAATGCGACAGTTTCCCATAAATGAAAATAAATTTTGGCAGGAACTATGGAGGGAAATAATGAGGAAGAGAATTTCAGCTGTAAGGTTCTCAATGGTTTTATCCTGGGGGAACTTGTATTCCCTCCTAAGATGGTCTTTAAATGCTTTTATGACTCTAAAGGGGACCCTGTTGCCAGTGTGAAAGGAGTGTTTTTGAGGGCTGCCACAATTGACTTAAAGAGGTCCGTAATATTTCAGTGTATCCTCATTGCTTTCTGTTAGTAATTTGTTTACCAACAAAGATTCCTGAGTAATCCTGCATTATTGTACTGAATACCTTCTCTATTTTGCTCAACACATTATCCATTGATAATTTGGCCTTTATTTAGTCCAAATATGATTATTTTAACCCACTAATGTGTTTATAATTTCACTCCTCAGTGTGGACATTCTGATTTAAGATAAGATGTAGGAGTTTTTTAATTTTTTCCTTCTAATGATCTCCTAAAATGTATGCAGTGATTAGAAAGGTGATTAAAGCCCAAGTTTACTTAAGGGCATTTTTGGAGTGTTTGCTACACTTCTAAGAGGTTTAAGAATAAAACAGAAAAAAGAGCCAATCCTCAATGACCTTTTCTTATGTTCCTTCCTCTCTCTTCTGGCAGAAAAAGTCTAATAATACTGAGTGTTAAAGAGAGGAAAAGCTTCAGAGTGTCTATTTGTGGTAAAGGAGACTAGGTACAGTAGTGCTTTTGGAGGAAGACGAGGCCCAATGGAGAGAAAGAGCACCCAAACACCATAGTTATAAGAGGAAGGCTTTATTCATTGGCCAGGAGCTTACGGCAAAGAAGATTTCCAAATGGCCACGCTCCCCGACTGGCTTGGTCTGTCCCTTTTATTGACAGTCAAAAAGTTCCACCCCTTCCCATTGGCCAGTTTGAATCAAGCGGGAGATGCTACTCCAGCCCCTACAGAACTACAGGATTTCACAGAACTTGGAAATTTCCAGGTTCCAGGAAGTTAAGCCTATAATTTCCTAAGAGCTGAGTCACCATGGAGAGGGCCCTGCAGGTGCATCCTCGTGGTCTCCCTGAGAAGACCTGTCCTCCCAGACCTTGCCCTTCTCAGGTATCCTCTCTCATTCCCCCCTTTTGAGACTCCAATATATTTTTAATTTGGGGTCTCAATATGAGCTTGTTTCTGTAGGTGCTGATATTAATTACTTTTTAGCACTAAGGTTTTAGGGACTGTGACTTTTCTTGGGTTCTCTACTCAGGCCTTAATAGTACCATGGTGGTGGGCTGACATACATATAAGTTTTACTTTTCCCTGCGACATTTTCCCTCTCTTTTCTCAAAGTTCAAAGTCCAATTAAGACAAGTCCCTTGAGGAGTTTCCTCAGGCTTCAGCCATACGTTGACCAGCCAGCTCCCAGTATGTGGCTGGAGCAGGGCATGTTGACTGTCTTAAAAGTTACCTTTACTTTCCAAGGGGCAGTGAAGTTCTATTCAGCCAACTGTGATGACTCCAGGTGAGGATTCCTTCCACCTTCACTTTTATGCATGTGATCAGGATGATGGTGTAAAGTCCTTTCTACCTTGGTTTCAGGGGGACCATTTCTAGACCTAGACTTGGCCCCCTTGAATCTCCAGAAAGGATGTACAGACACAAAAGACTAAGCAGAATATGTTTAATTACCCCAGTGGAGACTTTTCTTGCTACTCTTTCTAGGGTTTTTGTCTTTTCAGTTCAGTCTTAGTTCTTTTAGGAATTCCTGCTCAATTGCAGAGAATTGACAGAGGCCTCTTTGAACAATACCAGTGGCAAGGCCTGTATCTAAGTAAGCTTTGCTTTCTGGCAGAGTTTACCAATTTCTCCTCTTGTGGTCCTGTCCATATATTTTATCCTGTCTAAGCTTTGAGGCCTGTAAGTTATTCAAAGCTTTAGCTTATTATTTGCACTACTTCTATTAAGAAGGCTAGCCTGTTGTCAAATTTAAACCAGAGTGGCAACCTAATCCATGCTGTGATTTCTCTGGGCAATACTTTTGCTAATTCAGGAGACCTTTTTATCCTGGTGGGGAAGGCTTTTACCTATTCCAAGTCTGATAGATCATTACCAGCAAGTACTTGTTCCCTCTAAACCTGGGCATTTCAGTAAAGTCTACTTGGAAGTCCTCGAAGGGTGTTGCTCAATATGACTGGATTCCTGGGGGTTCCGTCAGTCCTTGGCACGCGTTGAACCACTTGCGGGTGACATACTGTAGACTGACAGTTTTGGCCAGGGCTACCAGGTGGAAGATGTAGAAGTACCAGCTCAACACCTTCGTCAAGTACTCCTGTCACTATGATGGCTCCTAGTATCTGGGGACTGTTACTTGTCCGTTTGGCATCTTTGCCCATTCTCCCTCTGCTTCCTGGCTCCCCTCTGCTGCCAACCATTTCTTCTCCTTCCAGAAATAGATAGGTGAGATCTCTGGAACCCACGGGATGAGGGGAGCCACTCGTGACACCTTGCACCGTCACATAACTGCTTCCATCAACATACATGTCCCAGTCTGCATCTGTCCAAGGCTGGTCACGCAAGTCAGGTCTGCTAGAGTACACAGTATCTATAACTTCCATACAGTCATGCTCAGTCTTTCTTCCACTGGCTGGAAGGAATGTGGCTGGGTCTAAGGTGTTCTTACATTAGAGAGTCAAAAATATCCTTTAAAGTGACCACAGAGTGGGGTACTTTTACTCTGTGATCCTGCCCTAGAGTCAGCTTATCGGCTTCTTGCATGAGGAGAGCAGTAGTGGCTATAGCCCGTAAGCAGGGTGGCCATCCTTTTGCCACTCCATCTAACTGCTTAGAGAGGTAGGCTACAGGCCTTGGCCAGGACCTAACCAGCTGGGTTAACATACCCACAGCCATCTTATCTCTCTCTGAGACATACAGAGTGAAGGGCTTGGTTAGGTCTGGCAATCCCAGTGCAGGGCAGTCGTTAGCCCCATCTTTAGCTGGGAGAGGGCACATTCCTGTTCTCTCTTCTCCACTCTAAGGGCTTTCTTTCCTCTCCTTTAGTTGCCTCATACAGAGGTCTAGCCAAGATGGCAAAGTTGGGGATCCAAAGATGACAGAAACCGACTGCGCCTAGGAATTCCAGAACTTGCCTTCAGCTTTTGGAGATGGGGAGGCGACTAATGATTTGCTGCTTCTCCCTGCCTAGATTCCTCCCTCCCTGCTGGATAATAAATCTTAGATAAGGTACTTGCTGCTGGCAGATCTGAGTCTTTTGATTAGAAATTTTATAGCCACATACCTCTGGATGTTACAATAGGCAGCCTGTACCTTGAGCACAGCCCTGGGG